CTTTGAATAAATATCAAGCACTTCACCATCAGCTTTGAATAAATATCCAGCACTTCACCATCAGCTTTGAATAAATATCAAGCCCTTTCACCATCAGCTTTGAATAAATATCAAGCACTTCACCATCAGCTTTGAATAAATATCAAGCCCTTTCACCATCAGCTTTGAATAAATATCAAGCACTTCACCATCAGCTTTGAATATCTCGTGTGGCATCCTTTTGCATCTCTTTGAAGCCCCGCCTCGTTCTACACCGGTGCCCTGACAGCGCCCTGACAGCGCCCTGCCCGGCCTGGCGAGGTGCACGCCGTTCATTCCCCAGCGCGACGCGGAGGAATACCGCCGCCAGTGCCGGGCGCCCAGTGGGATGGTCCATGCGTACATGGTCCATGATCATCGCGAGACGGTGAAGATCCTTTTCCCTGATATGCAACATGCGAATTCCAATACATATGGTTTATATAATGAAGAATAGACTCGGCCTTGTCGATTGTTGGACTTTTGGATGGCCTTGGCACAACCCACCTGCCTACCACTCCTAGCAGAACTCTTCCTAAGATAGCAGACGGTGTGCTTCCGGCTTCTCGTGCTTCCTGAGATCATGACGATGAGCACAAGTTGGCCACCATCGAGCGCTTTCTCAAAGACCTGCGACTTGGCGCCAAGCTACGGGCTAGTGACGGTCCCATTTACGGAAATTGCGAAGTAATATGGGTGTGCATTGGAAGAGGGAGCTCCCCCCAAAGATTGGTGGCAAACAGACGAAATCCATTGGTTGGGAGGTCTCCCAATTACGATAAACGACAAACCCATATGTTAACAACTACTATGGACAAATTGATGTTTTGATGTTTATCCATATGTTTGTTCATCCATATGTTTGTCAATTCACAAAAATCAGGACAAACTTTGGAAGCAAAAGGGGCCGACAGAGCAGAACAGTATCTGATTGAAGAATTGTGAAGATTTCATGGGTTGGCTGGAAAAACTACCTGGTCGCAACTACTTCAGTCTCAGCAGCAATTTCTCAGTTCTGCTCTGTGATTTGCTTGGCCTGCCCATCTGCCGGGAATCAGACAAACACAAAACGCAAGACATGGATGCTTTGTATGGTTCTTTTTCCCCGCAGTCTCCCTACAACATCGGTGATTCTTGCGCCCCTTAGATTTGTGCCATGGCCATCAACCAATATATACATATATAAATTAAACGACTCATGAACAGATCAATAAATATCAACATGGACTGAGCAAAGGCCAGGTAGATGGATGGATGGATGGATGGATGGATAGATAGATAGATGTATACTATAAACACGCTGTATATATGTTTTACAGTATGCGTGTGTCTATCTATATCTTGCCCTTTCTCAGGCTTCCAGGGGGAACACCGAACACCACGGTCCTTTGGGCTGCCAGGGGCGTGAACGAAGATCTCAAGGATCCCAAGCCGCCCGAGGGGGCGCTGGACCGCTCGGGCGAGCGCCAGGCGAGCGGGCGCCGCTCCGTGTGCGTCGTGGCGGACGGGGCAGCGGAAGGAAGGAGGCCACGTGGAGACCACCTGATTCAGTGGGCAACTTCACTCCTTCACACATTCCTGGCCAGTTGCCAGGAACAGGTGCCTCAACACATTTCAGGATTTTCATGACCTCCGTGCCGGCCGAACGGGCCTTGCGTTCGGAACCACGCCCATGGGTGGCGTTCGGCGGGTTGGCAGGTGGCGCAGGACCAGCCACTCCCAGCGGCCAACAGCGAGCCCAGCTTCGGGGCCGGGGGGCGGAGATGGATGGAAATGGATGGGGGTGGTGGGTGGTGAAGTCGGTTGACCAAGTGGTGGAACCTTGTGGATTGGATCATTTTACAGAATTTTACAGAATTCCTCCTGAACACACAGGGCCGGAACTTGTCCAGGATTGGGAAAGTCTAAGGTCCAAGCACATGTGGACAGCTGAGCAGGCACACCTTGCCACTATTTAGGATGTCCTAGCTGTCACTTTGGTGGGATATTCTTGGGTTTGAGAAAGATCAGGGACCTGTGGGCACTCACTCTCCATCCCACTAGTTGCAGGCTTTTTGTCAACGGTCCGAGGTATTTTATAAGTCCTCTGCGAACCTGTGAAGAGAGCTGTCGTTCAAACAGTCTATGGCAAGCCCATGGTACTTGTAGAGAGCATGGGCACTGATTTCAGCCGCTGCATGTTGCAGCCATGATTTGCTTAAGATAGCGAGCCTGCGAGTGGTCGGCACAGGCGGGCTCAGAATCAGGACGGATCTTTGGATGTCACCAGCTAAGCTTAGGTATACCTGTACCACCTCGCTGTTTTATGACCTGTATAAAGATGTCCCCCTCACCAAACCAGGTGCTAAACTGCAGCCGTGGCTTCAAAACATCCACTCATCACACCTTCTCCCTCACTGATCCATCCACCCCTGCCCAGATGCTGGGGGCGACCCCGCCACGGACCAGCTCCCCCAGTCATTCACCGCCCATGTCGCAGGCGCCATTTTCGCGCACGTGCGCGAGCCCCCCCGCTAAGCGCGGGGTCGGCACCTCCGTTTTAGTCTCCCCCCCCCTGTGCGTGGGCGTCCGTGGCTCAGGCGGCGGGGCGTCTGGCGGCCTGCGGCCATGGATCAGGTGGCCCAGCTGGCCCAAGTGGCGCAGGAGCAGTTGCTGAGCGCCTGGGCCATGCTGGGGCCGGTGAGCTCCAAGGCTTCCGAGGCCTTCGTGCTGGCGGGGAAGCAGATGGAACCGCTGCAGAGCACGGTGATGGCGGCACAGGTGGGACAGGTGATCGGTGAAATGGAGGAGGGGGAGGAGGTATCAGTTTGTAGAGGTGCATTGGCTATGAATTAGTTGCTAGTCAATAAACTAAATAGTAGAGACACTATATAGTGCTAGATTGTTGGTTGGCAGGTTCGTCTTTTGGGGTCATTGGTGGGACATGATGGGGTGGGTGCCGTGCACGCTGAAAACTCTTTCCAATTAGCAGACTTCGTGGAGTTTGGGATGTTTTGGGTGTGCGTGATCTCTTTGCGTCAGCCGTTGAAGTCGGGAGGTGCAGCTTCACGACTACGTCCTGAGACTCTCGTCGGTGCTGGCAGTTCAAGGAGCTTTGGAGTCCATCTCTGAGGCCGTCCACGTCTGTCCGACGTGCTACCCGTTTGTCCAATCATAAACCACAGAGATCTGCTAGTTGTGGTGGTTTTTTGGGCGGCCAAAAGCTGACGCGAACATGAACAGCAGGCATTTTCCCTGAACTTCCAGCGACTTCCTTCGGCCCATTTGGTAGTCACCTCCAAAAGGGGTGGTTTCCGTTGCAGTGGCAGCTTCTTTTCCCTCAGTATTGCGAGGGAACCATCTGAATCGAAGTTGGGCGGGGCTTGTCGATTTCTTCCTCCGTGTTCCTCTTCATCGGTCAGGGGAGGCCCAGGGAGGCACTGCAACAGCTGGCCACGGCCGCACCGATCGCGTGTCGACTGTGACACCACACGGCGCTCAAGGAGTGACCTTGATGTCCCAGAAGTGCAGGCTCTGTGTGCCTGTTCGTTGGGTTCGTAGTTTGGGACCAGTAAGAAGTCCACGATCCCCTTATCCCTGGTACATACCTCTTGTCGAACCAGTAAGAACAGTCCCACTGGGACCAGGGACGAAAAAGACGTTGGGAGGTTGGAATGGTCCAAGATCTGGCGCACGCCTCTCTGGGGCAGCGAAAGTTGGCACCAGCAGCTTGGCGACATTCGCGTGACGCCACGATTTAACCGGGAGGTTGAAGACCGTACTCGAAGTTTCTTCAAGATAATGTGAGGGTCATCGCCTCATGGCCAGCGTAAGATTTTTTGAAGGCCTGCTTTGTTTCGCAGGCTGATTGATGTCATTTGATTAATGTATAGAATCTGTCTTGAGGAATGCTCCAACAAAGGGCTTGCTGGGGAAACTGCAGTCTGCGAAAGGCCAGTCGTTGGACAGTGAAGAGATGCACCAGCAGACCCAGGACCCTACCAGAGACCCTTTCAGGATTTCTTAGCGATCTTTTGAAGACTTAAGTGACCTCATTCTGAGATCTCGAGATCTCAGGTCACTAGGGAGGTCCTGGTATAACACGGGATACGTATAGACATTGATTTCCACGAGAGGTCCGCATTGAGAAAGGCTGCGAAAGGAGAGGGCTCGGGTCGACTGCCGTCGCGAAAGGGGATGCAGTCGACCGGCAAAAGGAACCTAATAGGAATGGCCTGGACCCTAGCGATGGCCACCATGTGTAGCTTCGGTCCTTACCTCCGACTGCCGGAGACACGGATCGCCGAGACGTGAGACTTTCACGAGACGGTGGCCAGACAGGACGTGGGACAGGACGAGTGACCCGCGCGCGGAGGCAACCGGTAGGGGTGAGTGAAGCCAGGGCGAGGAACCTCCAGATTCCAACCAGATGGCATCGACTCGTCACAAGCGTTGATTTGGGATCCACAGCGGGGGGGCAAGCGCCCGGTCCAGACTTTAACATATATAGTTTAATTGGTGAAGCGGATGGTGAAGCGAATGATCTACAAGCCAAGGAGCTCCTGCTGTGGATTTTCCTGTCCCTGGTGGCGTTGGTCGGGCGACCCGGACCCGCCTGGAGCATATGATCGGGGAGAACTGGGTCGGGTGGGAGGGATGATGCAGACATGAGCTGTTTGTACCTTGGTCCATTCTCACTCCAAGTCGATTTGTAGGTGCCAAGATCTTCAAGCTTTTGCCACATCGCCCAACTCGAAGTTCCAACCAACCTGATGCCTCCTGATCCCTGGGCCAACCTGATGACTCCTCCAAGGCCCTCCTGGTACTGTTGGTCGTGCCCAAGGTGCGAGTCCGTGCCGCTTCGAGCGGCACACACACCACGCGTCCGTGCGCCGCACATAGTGCAGCGAGCCGCGCGATGAACATGCGTCGAGGCAAAGCTAGCGGTCTGGGGCTTCTTCTATTTCTTCCTTGCACGCCACTGGGCTGGAATCAACCTGCGGGGTGCTTTATCGGAAGGCAATCAGGGAGAGGGATGCCGGCAAGATTGCCAGCGGCTCTTTTGCCTTTGGAAAGCCCAAGCCTAGGACGTCCTGTGTGCAGACTTGGTCGGTACTAGGGGTCCTCCCTGTGCTTCGCCACACCGTGTGACACGCCAAGCTCAGGTGACAAAAAGCAGGGCACCTAGCCGTCAGTCGCAGTGGCGACATCGCAGTGCCCGTCTCTGGCGGGCTCATTGTCTCCCGCGTGCCGCCGTGCTCTCTCGCGTGCCCTGAGGCCGTGCAAGCCCACGGATATGAAGATCGACAAGAACTCGCCGAACTGCAAGAGAATGAAGAGCCCTGGCGACAAATCCGAACGGCTTCCTTTTTGCGAGAGTCACGCGCATGCTGCGATATGAGAAGAAGGTGTCGTATTGGCTCGTGATGTTTCTGCATAAAGGTGGAAGGAAGTAGACATACCACTCAGATCCACTCAGAGCGTTTTCTGTGAGATTGATGTGCTCTGGTAGATGAATTCTGTTCAAAGTGAGTCATTGTGCATTGGCTAGCTGTTGTTTGGTTGAGGATCGTCTTCATCCGCCATGGTGAGTCTCAGTGGAACTCTGTCTTCAACAAGGCCGATCAGTCAACTTCGTTTCAGATCTGCCATTCGACGGGTGGGATTGGTGGTCGGAAGCCGGGTACATGATCGGCAGTAGCATGCAGCATCCTAGAAGTACCCTATAGGCAACAGTCTAAATTATTCTTTCTTTCGCTAGTCTTCCCTACGCGTCTGTCACTGTCTCACTAGTCCAGACTGGCGAGACAAGAGCCGCGCAAACCACAAAGTGACCTCTTTCGACTCTATCTCACAGTCCTTTGTTCAAGTCCCAGTCGCAGTCTTTTTTGGAAGCTTCATAGCTGAGATGGGGCAACGGCTTCCGGGTTTCACACGGACGCTTCGTGCGCGGCCGGCTGGAAGTGCGCAGGGCTGGAAGATTTTTCTGCCCTTTCGCCTGGTCCGGGCGTTGATCAAAGAGGCCGGCGAAGGGAGGAAGTCTGCAGCAGCCGTAGAAGTGGCGCCGCGCGGCATTGGGCTCGAGCGATTTTGGGCGGGGTCTAGGGATGGACATAGCTAAATTTGACCCATGTGTGTGTTGAGGCTTTGGCTGTTGTTGCCATGATATAAATATTTTCGACGACCACACATATTGGGCCAATTTTAAGTTTACACGTATTGCGTGGTTTACCTTGCACGCCGTATCGGTGGAAAGACACGGCAGCCGCAGACCAGGCGTGTCGATCACAGAAGCGGAGAGTAGCGGGGAGACATGTATGGAGTTGCTTTTTGCGGCCCACTGGCCCGGCCTGTTGGAGGATGTCCAGAGGGAAGGTCAATGGGAAGGTCCTGCGCTGTCATGCTGGATCGCTGCGTGTGCTCTGTGGGTCCGGTGTTCGGCTTCGAGCCGGGGTCGCTGCTTCCAGGCGCCCACGCAGAGTCAAGGCATGCACGGCACCAAAGTGCAGTGCAGCCCAAGCAGATCCACTGATTCTTACCACATACTTCCACACAATTTCTAAATCAGGGTCAACGGTCAACTTTTGAGTGGCAAGAAATCCACTAGCGGGATCATACCAAATCATTCCGCTCTACTCACCGGGCAGGAAGTACATCCTAAATGGTGGAAGAGTTCTCAAATTGAACTTTTAATGAGCAGTCTGAACCTTTTGTGCGAACACTTTGCCTCGCGATGCCCGGATTAGGTGGCAGTTGTTAGTCAGCTAGGGTGAGCAAGTCGCTCCCGAGCGAGAGAGAGAGAGAGAGCAAAGAGTGGATCACTCTGGAGCACTGGAGTACGTAATCTTGAACGTTTAAAGCTCACACACTTTGAGTGTAAAAGCCTCCTACTCACTCAAGGTCCTCAGCTACACTCACTCCGTTCGTGGCTTTTCTCGACCGATCCCGGACGTCGATGCTACGCGGTGAGGCGTTCATGCTCTTTCAGCGGGACTCGCTCTTCTACGACTCCCCGCTGAATGACCAGGGCCTCCTGGAGAGATTGGAAGTGCTGATGAAAAGGTCAGACGTAGGATTCAAAGGTCCCTCACAAAGGCTAGCACGCGGATGTCACGTCTCTCTCTCTCTCTCTCTCTCCCCCCCACCCCTCCCCAGCAAACTGTTCGAAACATAGACATAGACACTATCTTCTTTCCTCTCGGAAATCCACATAATGAGGGAGTCTTAGACTTCTTAAGAGCCGCGGATGGAATACCCTACTGTATATCATTTGGACATCCCGACATCCCTGAATAGTAGGTCGAAAAGCCGCTGATATTTTTGTTGATCAACATGCACGTGCCTTTTTGACCTCCATTTGTGCAAAATCTGGGATGATTCGTCCCAAGTGACACGGTTTGGATGAAGTTTGGCCAGATGGGTCTAGCTTTTGGTGCTCGCATTTGATAATCCAGTGCAACTTGGGGTACGAAGGGATGGATCTTTGTCCATCCCCTTCCCCAACAGCAAGGCATGCAGCAGGGCTGGGACCTCTTGGCGTTCCTGGCCTCCCAGCCACCAGGCGCGTGAGCTGACGAGGGTAGGAAGAAGAGCCGACTTTTGGGCATCTCTGCATGGATGGGTGGGTTTGTTGGATGTTGCCACTTAGATTTTTTTGCTTGTTTCAACTCTGGTCAGCCAAATTGCCCAACTTGACGGTTTGCCACAGATGGGGAAGAACGCCCGCAATAACCTGTTTGTGCACTCCTGAAGTTGGGCCATGACTAAGGATTCAGAATTAAAATAGGCATTCAAGTGCCCCGTAGATCTCAATGAGATGCCTGCAGAAGCCAACAGGCCACCCTTGATTGATTTGAACATATTTGAACCAAGTTCTCGTCATACTTGACTTAAGGCCCCGATGAACCGGCAAAAAACATCCGTTGTTGCAAGTTTTGCACAGTGAAATGTCACCCCCCAAACGAACACTTCAATGAACACACTCGTTCGAAACTTCATCAGGCCTTTTGTGAACACCTCCACGACAACCTCCCACCGAAGCCCCTTGTGACGACCTTCAGGTTGCCGAGAGCCCGGCACCTGTCACAAGCCGGTGGAGCAGCTGCAAGTGGAGGATATCGCCGCTTGGAAGGAACGCTTAGCATGGCCGGTCACACACGCAGCTACCTGGTGGTCAAGAGGGGAAACCAAGGAGTTTGCCCCACCTTCTCCTCCAACAGGGGCCAAGAAGGATCCAAACGACCTCTGGGGTAGTTCCTGGTCTCCCGGGAAAGACGGATTTGGGCTCCTGAGCCAGTGCAGCAGAGGTGTCCATCATCATGGGAGATGCAGGTGACAGCCTGTTAGCAGCTTGGCTGATGGAGGGGCAGTCTTCGTAGCGTTTGCCAAAGAACTACAGGAACATGCACCCTGGAACGCGATGTGTTTCGAAGACGGTTTCGCTCGTACAACTACTGGCGAAGGCGAGGGTCAGCAAACACCAAAATCAACCACAAAAGCTCAAACCATCATGGCAAAGGAAAAGCTTCCCCCTCTCAAAACGCAAAAACGGATGATCCCAAACGCTAGCACCTGTCATGAATTGTTCAAACGCCGATCAGTTGGACAGAACCTTGGACTCCACACCACTACGGAACCCCCGCGTCAAGGCCTCCTCCATCCTGCGGCGCGCGGTGTCCACTGCGTTGCTGGCGTTGAGTCCACGGCTTTTGAAGTCGAGCCTTGGAAGGCAACGACCGGTTCGAGCTTCAAACGACCGCTTCGTCGCACTTGCTTCGACGTCGGTGGACCTGAAGCGGTGGACGAAGTTTGAGACTTCCGGTTCTTGAACGCATTTTTGGGCGCTGCTTTTAAAAATCCGCCCAGGAGTCTGGTGGTTGATAGAGGTGGATCTGTTCATGTTGAGGTGCCCATTCACGTGCGTGGGTTTCAAAAGAAAAGGGAAAGCATGTAGTAGACCTCCACAGGTTTTCAACCTACTTTCTACTTTCTCCTTTGCCATGTGAACTCGACTTCGCCAAACACAGTGGCGGGCAAGTTTCGAGCTGGTTTCATGCGCAGATCCCAACGGCATAGGATCGTAGGAGCCTTAAGAAGTCCAAGGAACGGCAGTTGCAGTCTTAGCATGTCTTTGCCATGCCTTTGGTCAGCGACGGTCACACTGTAGTATAGTTTGTGGTGGATCAGATTCCCTGTCGCCTTAATTTTGGGTTCAGGGGGTGCTGCAGGCACAGATAATTAATTACTGTGGGCTCCCAACAACTTGGAAGGTTGTCGAAGTTTGTTGAATGGGTCCAGCTCAATATACGAACCGCCGATCATCATTGCGCTCCACCTCGAGTGATGACAAATTTGAAACAACCCACAGGTTGGGAACAGAAGTTAGACCTCGCACAAGAGCTTAGACCCACTTTGTTCGTTGGGTTTTACTTCTTTTCGTCACCCATCCTACGTGCTGGACCTGCAAGCTCCGCTCAGGACCTTCGCGAAAGACCGCGTTCACTTGATGACTGCTCTGCAGGACCGCTGTTCCGGGCCCCGATGGCCTTCCAAAAGAACTGGACCGGATGTATACAATTACCATAAACTACCCAAGGCTGACCCAGGTTGGGGTCGTTTTCCGGCTCCAAGCTTGATTGTTGTTGTCGTCACGAGCCTTTCGGTGGAAGATATAGCCAATACTCAAATACTCTATCTCTCTTTGCTCTCTCCCTCTTTGTTTTGTCTCCGTCTATATCTGTATTCTATATAGTTTCAGGTGTATATATATATAGTACAAAATATATATACTTATACCTCTCTCTAAATACACATAGCGACGTCCCCCACACGGTTCTTCAGTCGCTCGCAGGGTCGATGAATCACATTGGACGTGTTCCGGTCGAGTTCAGCGGCTTCTTTTGTCTGAGCATTGTTGACAGGGACAAAGCGGTTGCTTCGTGCATGAATCCCAAAACTGTGCACGAAGACCAATTCAAGAGCCTCAAAGAAGTTTCGGACAGTTTCTTCACGCACTCCCTAGGCCATGGAAAGTGAAGGCTTTTCACAAGTGTTTTGCTTAACCAGTGGGTGAGGCCAACCCCACCCGAACCGTGCAGGAGATCAGCCATGCCCTCGGAGGGATAAGGGGTTCAGCGGGCTGTGGGTCGATGTTCTTTTCAGAAGGCAGCCAATGCAAGTCCTTCACTAACAGCTCTGCAAGTCCTTCACTAACAATCCACTAACAACTAACAACTCAACCACTTCAACCACTTCCACCAACAATCCACTGAGTCCTTCACGAGCTCAGCTCAATCCACTTGGCCCCAGCTCCGGTGGAACGGGGCGCTCGCTCCGTCGCCCAGGTCGCAACGTGGACACCTTGAGCATCACCCGCGCGCGGACGGTGCCGAAGGTGCCGGTGGACGAGGTGAGCCGTCGGACCGTCGGACGGTCACACAGGGGAAGGGCCGGGAGAGGAAAGGTCTGAGTAGACCGTGTTGACTATGCAAGGCATGTGTTGACTAGGCTTGCCGTGTGGCTCCACAACCATCTCCTTAAGACCAGGATGGTCCAAGCTACGCCAAGCGCTATTTTATATAGCGGCCAAGTCCGTGCCATCCCGTTGATCATCGCAACTGCTGGGCCTCGGATGAACGTGGGGTTGTGATCACCAGTTTTGGAGCTGTGCGGTTGTTTGTGAGCTGTAGGTCCTTTGGTGGGAGCTTCCAAGTTTCATGCCACAAGTGGTGGGGGTAAAGCTAGCTCTCCAAGACATCGAAGTTTCTAGGTTTGCCCACTTCCACTCCTGTGGTTCACCAGGCTCCGCTAGACTGCTAGACTTCTAGATGAGGCATTGCAGGGCATGGTAGGTCAGTTCAATAAGAAGCTCTAGAAGCTCTGCCTCACGCTCCACAAGAAGCTGAAAACAAATGTGCTTGTAAAGAATTGCTTTTCCTCCGGGGCTAGGCCGTCTATTCCATTTCAGAGAAGCGATTCTCAATGTTGCGCTTCCAGGCGAAGATGAAAAACATGGGAGATCTCATGACGCTTGGCCGAGATGGTCCGAGCAACTGGGGCCCCTCTCGGGACCTCCCAAGAATCCACTCCAACCAGGGCCAAGACGAGCGGAGAAAACAAAAGAAAACCAAAAACACTCAGAACACGATTAAACGCCGCTCCCCTGTTCGCGCGAACTTGAAGTGCCTCAAGGATTGGCAGACCTGAAAAGGGGCACACTCCCTAAACATGATAATGGAAGTGGAAAACCACCTGTTTGTGTGGGATTTGATTTGATGGTCATCCAAGGGGTGAGGCCATCCACTTCCATGATTATCTCGAGGAGTGCACAGAGTCTGGGGAACTGTTCACGGCCTTTTTTGGGGGGCGTAGTTCCATTTCTAGCTGTGATCTTGATGGATATTTTTATATACACCCTGTTTTTCGAATGCTGTGACATCACGGGTCAACGAGCGCGTGACCCATGCAAGGTCTCATTGGTACAAAACGCGGCTAGATCATCGACAGAACGCTGGCAATAAGACCTTGGGCATGAAGGCCGCGAGCGTGGGATCCTGCAGCGAGCAGGGCGCCGGTGTTCGACTTTAAGAGTCCTTTCTACGGCGGGGAGAGCTTTAGAGAGTTTCAGAAGGCGGCCTTTTGACCCTGTTTCTGGCACTTAATCATAGCAGCAGCCAAAACCAGGCCTGAAAACGAGACACGAAGAACTCGAACGCACACGAGGCAGACAAGCGACAAAAGCAATTTGTGAAATGGGTCTTGGAGCAGAAGGACATCGACTGTATTATCGCACCTTGACAAGCAGACCGTTGGGTTCCAAATTTTGGGAAACGCTGCACCCATCCCAAGTGGCAGACGCACCACTGTGGAGTCTTCTAAGACTTGGATCGGACCTCCTTTAAGTGGTGTATGAGCTGACGTTTGGCACCAAACGGACAGTTCGCCCCTATCAGGATTCGGGCGTGAAGGTGGGGTGAAGATCGTGAGGCATAAACATAAGTTTGCTCAAGAAGAGGCTTCCAAGAAATGTCGGAGAACGCCCTCCTCCCCACAGAACCCTTGATGCTGCTCCGCTACGCTCCTACAGTCCATTCACCGCCACCTGGGATGGAGCGGAGCGAGAGTCACAGTCGGAAGAATCTGAGAAAACCAACACTTTGCTTGAAAGAAGGGCACTCTCTGAGGTCGCGGGACACTCTCTGTGGTTCCGGGAGTTCTTCAAAAGCAGCTCGGTTCCGCCGTACGGCGTGCGGCCGCCGTTCGGAGTGCAACTCCGGTCTGGGGGCCCGCGGCGCGGTGCGCCTGGTCGCCCCAGGCTTCATGCCCAAGAGCTCCACACACGCGGCGAAGACGACGAAGATGGTGAACTGCGGAGTCCGGACGCCCAGAACTGGACAGATGCGGACAGGGTCCGGACAGGGTGCGAGGGTTCATGGAGAGATCAGCTTGGGGAGCGGATGTGACGTTCAACACACCAATCCACCAGCTGTTCAAAGAGGTGCCAGATGTGCGTTTTTTCAAGAATCGGATCCTGTTTGCAAGGTCCTTGAGCTTGTGTGACATCTCTTAAGGGATGTCTTCCGCACCTTGACGTCGGCGTCGTTTTGGGACGGACGGATTCTCAGGTGGTGGCCTTTGACTTGTACCGCACCGTCCAGCACAGTACGGAAGTCATTCGAGCCTTGGTGGAGGATGCGGGCAACGAACAGGTTTTTGGAGGGTGCTGGAGTCCGGAGAGCTAGCAATGTCAACCTCAGACCATTTCAGCTGGGAGGTGCTGGTTAAATGTGCAGTTTGCACTTTCTGTTTCACTTCTTGGAGATCATTCCAGCGGGAACCGGCAGGTTGAACAACTGCACTGTGCAGTCTTTGGAAACGGCATCAAGCAGCCAATCGCCCTGTCCACAAGCAGCCCATCAACAGCATGAGAAAGGCCTCACCGGAGAGTTGTGTACCATTCCTTTTCACAGGCCCCCACTTCAACAAATATCGACTACAAACTATAGTACTATAGTGTATATAGTTGCAGGGATCCTCTTGAAACTTGCAGCTGGAGATGCAAAGAGTTCACTGAACTAGTCTCGGAATCCAATTCTTCCAGCAAGTCACATGGCTGGCTTCACAGCGGGACAGCTAAAATCACAATGCCTAGTTGCTCGATAAGCACGATTCCAACCGACCTTTGAGTTCTTATATATTTCATGCCATTAATTGATATGCCACCCTCCAGTGTTTGAGTCGTACTGCATTTATTTGCATTTGTCTTCTGGTTGCCTTCACTTTGCCTCAGATCTCTGATGCAAACATGTTCATCTCTGCCAGTTGCATCCCTCCGACGCCAGAGGCATCAAGGCAAGGCTCGAAACTCGTTTCGACCTCTGCGGCGAGCTGAGGCATCCCTCCGGAGAGCATCAAGGCGAGATGGGGCTGACGTATGCTGACGTGCGTTGTGCGGGGGGGGGGGGGCACATGTGGGGTGGGATGTTGAACCAGTGAGGGGGTGAAGGAACCAGAGGAGTGCATGGATTTGGTCAAGTCATGATGTTTAAGTGTGTATTTGCGCATCATGAATAGATCCATCTATCAAGATATCTTTTTGTTTGTTTTCTTATCTAGCTACCCAATCCGTTCACCAATCAATCAACCTTATTTTATCACACACACATATATATATATATTATATATATATATATATCTTCTCTTGTCTATCAATGCATGTGTTTTTTCTTTCTGGTTTAGTTCTAGGGGCTTCCTTTGAGGCACGCCTGGGCATGCCCTGGCACATTGATACCCTGTGCTTCTCTGGTGCAGATTTCAGAAGACCCGTCGTGTGATCGAACATTCAACGCCCAAAGACATAGTCTTGTTGCCACCCGTCGAACGCAAAGGAAGGTTCCTTTCGGGGTCACTTAAAGTTAAACGGTCTTGGACTTTTGGGGCACTTGGACTCGCCGGGTTTTCACTTATCTATCTACCAGAGATGGGTGAAAACCAGTGAGAGGGTGAACGGTCTTCGTTCTGCGTGTTGACAACGAGTTCAGCTCATGCCACGTGCCAAAAAAGCCCGCACCGCATGGGAGGGCTCAAAGACTGCAGTCATGCTCCAGGAACGGGTCAAGGTAGGTACTTCCATTGAACATAGCCCCAGAAGTCACCCCCCCCCCAACGTGGCCGAACATAGCTTCCATATTGCCTAACATAGCGCTAGAATGTGGGAACGTCGCAAATTGGTGTATCTTTTGCGCAGGTAGCTCGATGGGGGGGGGGGGCTTTATTCCAGTCCCTTTTGAGCCCTCGTTGGGCTATGTTTACGACGTTCAAGTCCCTATCTCGCAGGCACGTCCGTTAGATAGTGACTTCTAGGGCTATGTTAGGCAATATGGAAGCTATGTTGAGCCACGTTAGGGGAGCCTGTTCAGCCAAATGTCCGGCCTCAGTCCAATTACACTTTACCGCGCAGATGATTCAAATCATGCAAAGGAAGAAAATGGCATTTCTTGCATCAATTCAAATCATGCAAAGGAAGAAAATTGCATTTCTTGCATCACCAGGGGCTTCAAAATAGCACGAATTCATCTTCCAGCACTTTAAGCTGGTTCCAAAAACGTGAAAAGCACAGGATTCTAGAGCGAAAATGCCCCCCCCCCCTAGCTAAAGCTATTGGCTTGCCCAGGCTAGCTTACGTATACCGCGTGCCCTATAAAAACGCCTCGGCACCTTCGGTGCGGGCGGACTTCACCCCCCATATGAAGAGTTGTTTCATGGTGCCAACCCATCCAAACGGGGCGGTTGAGGTCTATCAGTCTATCCCTCAAACGGCCGTGGAGGTGCCCCCCCCACCCTGGCCGCTCGGCCAGGAGATCTACGGCGGCTTCGAGGGGAAAGGGAAGAAGAAGAAGGCCACGCGTCCCGCGCGCACCGCGTGTCGCGTCCCGCGGAGCCGGGGGTTGGGCCCGAGGCCTGGAAGGAGGGGCCGGACGCGAAGGGAGACTTCGTCATGCGACCTTGGGCCGCGAGAAAGTGTTAGTGCTGCCATGTCATATGCGGCAAGATCCATGCGTGACAGATGAGTTTGCCATGCACTCCTCAGAGTGCGCGCCAAGTGCAGGGAGATGTCCCAGAATCGCATGGCTGTTGTGCTTCCCTTGGGAAGCGAGGAGTGCGTTTATGCTTCTACGTCTCACTAGATTATAGGGGTGGGTATTTCAGTCCAACAGCTAGACCGCACCCATCTGAGTGCGAATCGTGTTTTTGGGCGCATTCTGGTCTTCAAAAGTCTCCCGCCGCAGTGGAATCAGAAGTTCTTCATAGGCCTTAAGTGTGCTTCGTTTTGTGTACCCAGATGGCCCCCCAAAGCGAGCACGGCATGCCGCAAAATGGCTGCGAAGATGTGGACCGAACCGTGACATGCGTCGGGAGTGGTCTCAGACGGAGAAGCCCAGGAACGCTGAGATGGATGGGAGGGGCTGTTGTCAACTGTCAACTATTCTTCACTTGTGGCAGGGATGGCATGGCTGTTTTGGGTCTTTTGGCTTGAGGTTGGCCTACTAGTAGTTTTGTGGTGGGGCCTGAGGGTAGATTGGACTACCCCTCCATCCAAACTTCTATCTATCTGACTCGCTTCACTTTTCTTTTTAGTTTTTTTCCTCAGGCCTCGGAGGAGAAAGTCCCCGTGCCATCCCGTGCCAACCAAAAAGACATATCTTTTTAAAACAAGCCTTCCAAAATCAGAGAGCTGAAACCTCGAACAACTCGTCAGGCTTGACGAGTGACGAGCTGTGAGCCCTTCGGGCCCTTCGGCGGGACAGCGACGATGCTGGGCACGATGCTGCTGTGCCCCTACATGCCTGTCGTACATCATAGCTGAAAGGGTCCAAGAGTTGAGGGGTGCCACACCTGCCAAGCGAAGGGTGTGGGACTCAAAAGAAAACACCGGAGTACTAGGCAACAACATGGAAAGTGTTGTCTGGACACAAGACCATAATTCCAGGTTGATCCAGCATGGAACCCATTGAAGGCTCCCGCAGCTGAAGTGATGGGCGCCGTCGTTTGTGCGACGATCGGCGTCCCTGTGCAGCGCCGTGCAGCGCTGAACTGATGTGTATTACCCCCCCTAGCCTGGAGGCTGGGGGTCAAAGACGGGAGATGAAAAGAGGCAGTTCTTATTGCAGTTCGCCTATGGGGAGGCATCTCATAATATCAAGGATAGGTGACGATCAGTAGTTGTGAGTGAGTGATGCATGCCGAGAGGCTGAACAAGCTGAGAGCCCTGCGACAGGGTCCGCTAGGTCATTTGGAGCTACCAAGGTCCGCTTCAGAGCCCCATGCCCCTGGGTGGAAGAAACATGGAGTCGGAGTGTTTGAACGAAGAGATGCAGAAATGCGACACCGCAACAGAGCAACAACCATTTACTTGTAGGGAACGACCTTACGCCGGTAGGTCATTTAAGGTATTCCACAGCCATGTAAAATTGTGAGGTTTGTCACCCGCGCCCGAATAGGAAGACAACCCCTCTGCTCTGTTTCCTGGAGCGCCAGTTTTTCTTCTGCGAGCCCCCCGGTCACAAGGGGAGGCCACCAACGAAGCCACTCCCTTCCGTCCAGAAGCCGTCACTTCGTTCCTTCCGTCGATTTTGTCTCCCGTCCCCCATGTGTCACACAAAGAGGTGGACAAGAGCACATGAGACGACGCACAGCCGAAAAGCCGGTTGCCACGTGTGTCCGTCTGGCGGGGGGCAGTTCAGAAGTCGCAAGAGAAGTCGACAGAAGAGGCGCTTTGAAACTGGCCTGGGGTGTCATATCTATCAGTTCGGTCATAAACTACTTGGTGAACTGCTCTCCCCTTTGCAGTCGTGGGCTTTCGGGGCGTGTCTCATTCAGGCCATTGTGTCTTGAGTAGGGTCCCAACATTGGAACCACATCTCATGAGCTTAGGCAGACCCTGCAAAAAGGCCCCATGGAGAAAGGAGTCTGATCCAAATGCCATGTTTGAATTCCTGAGTTGTGATGGTTTAACATAGCGTCCTCCTGCAAGAGTATGGCACCTGCCATCAAATGCATCAAGCCCTACAAGACGGCTTACTCAAGCCAATGGGATCTCCAATGGAGGGCTATCGACTCGTATCGACTGTGTCGATCTCCACCTCTTCCAACGTCGTTGGAATCGGTCTTCTTAGGTCGAGTTCGACGGATGGAGTACCAAGGGGGGTGCGTGAAGCCATCCATGCGGACACGCGAGAGGCCTTGGACAAGCGCCGGAACGGTGACGAGGAGGCGCCGACATGCAGTTCGTGTGGGACACATCAGCCTGAAAAGGTGGTCAAATTCGTGTTGACCCATAAGGAGTGTAAAGTATAAGCCTAATGTGCGTGCATTATATCACTATATGTACATAAATTTTGTGGATTTGTTCACTTGAAGGTGGGGAACAGAGTTGGACGGGCCCTTATTCCCTTCAAGTTCTCATGGCTTCCAGTGCTTGTTCACTGCTTCATGGTTGATGGATCACAAGCTCCCCCCACTCACATGGGAGATGCTTCACCATTTTGGGTGGCCCCAGTGACGCACCTGGCCCCGTCAAGAAGACCCAGTGACATGGAAGCGGCGACTAATGGACCTCTGGAAGATCCTTCTTCCCCACAAAGCAACGAACATGTCCCCCTCCATGGAAAAGGTGAGTCGATGCGTCATGTAGACTGGTTGACTAATCAAATCTCCCTCCCGGAGATGTGATGCAAGGCCATTCTAGGCTTACAGTATTTTCAGAGTAGATGGCACAACCCCCAAGATGTCTTCTGAGATGTAGGTCCACGTTGGTGCTATCTACTCTGAAACCATTGTATAAATGTGTCTTCCAGTGATTGACCGGGAAGGCTTTGGTAAAGCTTTTGTTGTTTTGGCCAGGGCGTGCGGGTGGAGGCAACCCGAGGACCTGAGTCTTTGGTGGTCGCAGCTGGGCGAATCCATCGGGCCCGGAATCGAGGTCTCGGTGGCTTTTCCAAGACTTGGGCGGAATTGGGGGCGACCTGGTGTGGGTTGGGTGGAACTGGCTGATTGGGCGGCTTGGAACTGCCATGAACCTTTTGCGAAGGGCTTCGGAACTGAGGAACCGGATTTTGGGAGGTGGTGCCACGCCATGCCACGATGGGCCTTGGAAGAGATTCATTTCTGAAGGCTCCTACCAGTGCTTTTTTCAACAGCACCCTGGCAAGCCTAGATTTGGCTTGGTATGGGGGCGGGTTTGGGCAAAGACTTCGGGACGTGCAAAGCCAACCCCAAAGGATCCGGGACGTGTGGCAGGTTGGGGAACCTAAAAGCTATAGATCTCTCCAGGCATTTCCCAGGAAACGCTCCAGCCTAGGCACGTGCGCGCTTCCGGGCGATCCATGAGAAGGCGTGTGGGACCTGGGTCCTGTCACTGGGCGCCAGCGGAGGGACCCCCTCGCCAGGCCATGGCGCAGCAACGGGAGCCGGACGATCCGGCCGCGTCGGGGGCCGCAGGGAGCTTTTGGGAGCTTGGCTGGTGTGTTGAAAGAGGGGTTTCTCGAATCCAGGCACAGGTGGATTATGGTGATTCATTCATTTTTGTTGGGTGTTAAGTTTGGTTTCGGGGGAGTGAAGTGTACTGTTCTGTGCTTATTTCAAAGAGGAGCAGCAGCGCCAGGGGTTTTGGGGATGAGAAGCCACTACGTTCTAAAATGCGCATTTTGCAGCAGGCTTTTGTTGGGGGCCACTTGGAGGTGGAACAGTGTAAGAAACCTGTATAGTATGCGGTCTTCACCTCCCAGTGGAGAAATTCAAGGAGTGCTGTGGAGCCTACACCCAAGAGAAAGCTTTGAGGGATGGACCTGAAGCCATGCAGGAATCTGCTCACAGATCTCGTTTCATCTCGCCTCCTTTTCTTAGTCTTTTCTTTGAGTGGTGCTTTTTTTGCGGAGCGTAAAAGGCACCGGGAGGAGTTGGGGTCCACGGAAGTGATTATCCCGAAAACATGTTATTGTCCAAAACTATAATTGTCCCACCAGCTGCTAACTATATTCCTGGTGGTGCATCAGCTGCCTACGACAGCCATCATTGTTGATTCTTATTGTATCAGGTCTCGAAGCTCCAGGTGCTGAGCCACACCAGCGCAAGCGATCTGAAGTTGCTACCACACCACTTCCACACCACTTCCCATCTACAGAACACTTCCCAAGAGATGTTCGAGCTAGCAGCTACTTACGTATATGCCATCGGGTATTCGGCATATGTGCGTGTCCTTTGAAGAGGGATCAGTCTTCGTTCCATCCCTCCACGGCGACGGCGTCTCGACCGCAGAGGTCCCCCTTGGCCATCCTCCGTACGGCGGTCTACGATTACCAGGCCGAGGACAAAACCTTGGGCCCGGCGACCTCCGTTTTGGCGCTTTTTGGAGGTGTGGAGAATCCTTGAATTTGAAAGGAATGAGGAAAAAGCAACGCCTCGGTATAGAAGATATGCATAGACATACTGCAACTCATATATATATATATATGTATACATAATATAGTAATATAGAACATTATAGAACAGTAGAACACACACACATATATATATATATGTATGTGTATATATGAATGGTATGGTATGGTATGGTAATGGTAATGGTAATGGTAAGGTAAGGTAAGGTAAGGCAAGGCAAGGTAAGGTAAGGTAAGGTAAGGTAAGGTATGTATGTATGTATGTATGCATGCATGGGTGTATGTATGTATGTATGTATGTATGTATGTATGTATGTATGTATGTATGTATGTATGTATGTATGTATGTATGTATGTATTTTTTTTCTTCTAGAGTTGAAGTGTGCTCTTTGGCGGTCGCCTAGGACATTGCCTCACTTGCCATGTCAGCTCTTCTCAGAAGTAGTCGACCTGGAAGTAGCTGGCTTCCTGTGAGGGGTTGTCCGTGTTCTCGTTGTCCGAGGTGGTCATGGACTGGTCTTCCCTCTCTGTGAGAGGTGTTGGGAAATGAAGCCGTTTAGGCTTAGGTCCCTCCGTGATCGTTGGTATGTCTGTGCCACTGCCGTGCTTCTCTGTGCTCTCACCTCCTGAAGGTGTGGGAGGTGTGGGCTTGAAGAAACTTTGGATCGAGGGAGATCCCTTGAGGCCCGCTCCTTTGCATTCTTTGAGGAGGCTGGCCGAAAGGATGATCCTTTGATGGCTGTCTAGATGCAGCTGGATGCCGCACTGTTTGCAACTGATGCGATTCCCTTTCCTCCAGAGTTGGTGAGTGGGGTGTCCCCCATGTTGAGCATCATAGGGGCCATCAAAGCAAGGACTGTTGATGTAGTCCGTGAATGCTTGTTCATTGGTGCGTTTATGGATGCTAGTGCCGCACTTGGTGCACCTGAGATAGCCGGTGGTTTCCTCAAGTTGGTGTTGAGCCTTGGTTGGAGGCTTTTTCTCCTGGTCTTGGAGGATGTTGCGGATGACCTGCAGTCTGGTGAGCTTTTTGCTGGGGCCTGGTGCCTCGGGGCTGGGTGGTGGACAGTCGGTGTCAGCTTGTTGGAGAATGCAGGTCTCAGCGAGTCGCTCTTCAAGCTGTTGGGCTGTGAGGGCCTGGTGCATCCGAGTCCCACACGTGTTGCAAGTGTAACCGCTTCTGTGCGGGATCCACCTGTGATGGGGTTCTTTCCAAGGCTGGGTGCACTGTTTGATGAGGTCTTTCTTCTTTTGCTTGGTGTGGTGAGCTGGGTTGCGAGCAGGTTTGTCATGTAAGTAGTGTTGCTTGTCAGCAAAGATCTGTTCAAGCCTTTGGACGGCGTGGGTGTAGATGGCTTTATGATCCCTGTCAAGGGTGGCCTGCCAGTTGGTGTGGTTGCGGTTGTGGAGGCCATCCGCTCGTTCCCATGCCGTGAGGGCTGCATCACGTTGCCTCCTCCTGAGTTGTGGCTC